TGACGCCACTGCTCTCTTTATCACTATTGCTCTCTCTTCTCTCTCTCGGCTCTCGGCTCTCGCTCAATCATCTCTCTCTACTTCGTCTTCCATCTCTCCGTCTCTCTCTCTCCTCTCTCTCTCATCTGCTCATCTCTCTCTCCTCTCGCTCTGTATCTCTGTCTCTGTCTCACTATCTCTTCCTCTCTTTCTCTCTCTCCCCTCTAGCGATCCACCTATTTTTGTGCTGTTCCGTTGTTTCACCGATGAGATGGGTTCCCGTGGCGCTAGTACACCAGTCGAAACATCTGCTAAACGAGGTCGTTATAACACGGTCAGCAGTAAATGCATGGCCCACCACGCAATGTTGTTGTTGATCCAACAGAACAGCAATAACTGGAGACGTAATACACTGTAACCAACCACGCGCCGCGTTGTGATCCAACGCACGAGGCATGGGTAACCGCTGCCGAGTCTGGAGCGAAAGTTACAAAATCGGGCTGCGTGGTGTGTTGGGGTGGGATTTGCGTTGCTAACGGCGATCGTTTGTTTGTCACGCAGGTTCCGGAAAGACGGCCGCGTTCCTGATTCCGCTGATGAACCTCATCTATCAGTCGGGACCGACGGACAACCCGTCAGCCTCCGGGCAGGTGTGTATGCCATACGCTGACATGGGGAGAGATGAGAATGGGAGGGCGGATGTTCTGATGGATGGGGGGGGGGGAATACGTTAGGAGTTAGTTCTGCTTCTACTTGCTGTTGTATTTTGAGTGCTTGTGTTGTGTTCTTGTCGCGCGCGGTCGCATTGCGTTCTGTCTTATTTGTTCCTGTGGGGGCGTGGCGCGCGACTAGGCCCCGGCGTGTGTTGTGTTCTTGTTGCGCGTGTTCTGTCGTATTTGTTGCTGTGGGGGGTGGCGCCGTGAGAATCTGTTTTTATTTCATCCTCTTTGCAGATGGCTCGCTATTCGAAGAGGAAGTGTTACCCGCTAGCGCTGGTCTTGGCTCCGACTCGCGAATTGGCATCGCAGATCCACGAAGAATCTAAGAAGGTGAGTCGAGTGGTGGCCTCCCTCCACATGTGCGGCAGGCGTGCTGCATGGTTGTGCTCGTAGGAAGGTTGGTGTCGCTATTCCAGCTGTCAAACTCCAGGGGTGGATGGGGATTTAGGATGCATGCGAGAAAGCGTGGGTCAGCAGCTAAAATTTTATTGTTTTTTGTATTTTAATGATCAGTTTATTATTGAATGATTATATAATTATTGTTATTATTATTATTATTATTTTAGTTTGCCTACCGTGCAAAGGTGCGCCCGTGTGTGGTGTACGGGGGCGCCATGATACCACTTTATTAATGATAATAATTATATAATTGTAATTATTATTATTTTAGTTTGCCTACCGTGCAAAGGTGCGCCCGTGTGTGGTGTACGGGGGCGCTGACGTCGGCGGCCAGATGCGTGAGCTCGATAGAGGGTGCCACCTGCTCGTTGCTACGCCCGGTCGCCTTGTCGACATGATGGAGCGAGGCAAGATCGGGCTGGACAACTGCATGTACGCAAGACTGCCAAACCATCTTACTTGCATTACCCATCAAGACTGCCTGCTAGTTCAGTTCTAGCTCAGCTGGTCAGATAAATTAGTTATTAGATTAGTCTAGAGGCTGCTGCAATAAGGAATCTGTGCACATTTTGAGTGGCAGAGCAGTAGGCTATCGAGAAAAGGAGTTGATGGAGTGATGTTTGTTATTGTTGATAGATCGATTTCTGCCTAGTAATATGTGAGGTGTTTGGTGTACTGGTTAGTAGTGGAGTTCAAGCTGGAGATGTGTGATGTGCTGAGTGGAGCAGGGGGAGTCTGGGCTCAAGTTTCACCATGGCACCAATGCAGGGGTTGCGCTATCTGGTTTGCTGCATTTGTGTCCTTCCCATAAAAATAATATAAAGCTGCGTGTCCCACATAAAAAATGTAGTTAAAAGGCCAGTTGCCTTAGTGACCCACATTTAAAGGAAAGATTGCGTTGACGACCCTGCAACTTCTTGCTGCTCGGTGCCATGAAATTTCTGATTAAGCCCAAGGCAACAGTAACCTAACCCTAACGGCTAGGTGGTGCAGTGGCTGCCCTACCTAACCCTATAGGGAGAATCGGAATTCGAGCCCCCCTTGGGTAACAGGTGGGATTGTTGATGGGCAGGTATGATATAATAGGTGTGATTGTTGGTGGACAGGTATTATATAATAGGTGTGATTGTTGGTGGACAGGTATGATATAATAGGTGTGATTGTTGGTGGACAGGTACCTTGTGCTGGACGAGGCTGACCGCATGCTGGACATGGGATTCGAGCCGCAGATTCGCCGCATTGTCGAGAAGGACACCATGCCGAAGACCGGAGACCGGCTCACCGCCATGTTCTCCGCCACCTTCCCTAAAGAGATCCAGGTACGTGCGTGGCCGGCGTTGGTCAAGGTATCACGCGAGCAAAACGCCGTGTGGCTGTATGCGCGTGTCCCCTCGATGTGTGACCGTGTTCGCGTGTCCCTCGGTGCGTGGCTGTTACCTGCGGATGCCGCACCTGTTACACTCATCAGTTGGGCAGCAGGCTGCAGTGTCGCATGGTCGCTAAGCGCTTCGCATCTGGGTATCTGCTGAGGGTTTGCGGCGGCAAGTACCACCAGATGTCGTTCTGCCTCGTGGTTAAGTGCGGGTTTCGCCGATCGGCCATGTCGTCAGTGCGCGCTGTAGTGGTGTGTGTGAACGATCTTCCATGTCGTCGACGTCTGGTCCGTCGCTTTTATGATCGAGTTATGATCTCAGTCGGCATACAGCCTGTTTGCTTGCCAATAGTGTAATCGTGCCATTCGCTCGCCGGATGAAGTTCAAGCATGTTCCTAACGATTCCGCATGTAAATACTCTGTTTATGTACGTACCTGTTAGGTAAACGCTCATGTCAAGTTGTATTGCTTGTTTTATTGAAAATATGTCTAGTCTTAAGCATGTAGTGATAAACTCTTTCCCCGGTCGATCACCAGTTGTTTCGATGAACGTCGCGGTCAGATGAATTTTGGATTTGTGGATAGTGCACTGACAGATGCTTCGCGATTTCAGATGCTTGCTAGGGATTTCCTGAGCAACTACCTTTTCCTGGCTGTCGGGCGCGTGGGCAGCACCAGCGAGAACATCACTCAGAAGGTTGTGTGGGTCGACGATGGAGAGAAGCGCTCCTTCTTGCTCGACCTCCTCAACGCCTCGAGTAAGTCTTGGCCTACCCCTAAGCTGAGCGTCGGATTTTTGAGCGTCGCACGCGCGCGGGCATACAGAGTGACTCGTAGCGTGCTGCTCTTGCAGCGTTGTACCTGCGTAACACGGACGCTTGAGAGTGCTTACAGCACCCAACGACTCACAGCACTCGGCGTGTAGTTCTCAGGCAGGAAGGTGGTCGTTCAGGCAGACACATATTGAATGTTCGTCGTTGAATACCCTCCGGTTTGACGCGCCTTCAGTCGTCAGGGATTTGTAGATCTTGTTCCGCTTAATAAGGAGATAATAATTAATAAAATAAATAATAAAAATAATTAATCAGTAATTTAACCCGTAAGTAATTTTACCCGTAGTGCGTTGCCGTTAAGTTCGGTTAATAACAGCTCCAGATTATATATATGAGATCATCCGATTACGCCGCTCGTGTTCCTTACCTTGCTTTTCACCTGTGTACAGCACCCGATTCGCTGACGCTGGTGTTCGTGGAGACGAAGAAGGGAGCTGATGCTCTGGAGGACTTCCTCTATTCGGAGGGGTATCCGGTGGCGAGTATCCACGGCGACCGCTCCCAACGCGAGCGCGAGGAGGCGCTGCGGTCATTCCGCAACGGACGCACTCCGATCCTCGTCGCGACGGCCGTAAGTTGACGCCGCTGCACTCCAGGTTTCGCGGAACAGGCTCTTGCTGTTCTTGGCATGGGGGTGGAGGGTGATGATTAGCAGACTGCCGTTGGAACAAGTTGTTTTTCTCGTTATCACGTGCGGTTATTACTATATTTATGTTGAGAGGCAGAAGGGTACTACACTGAACCCGTACAGAGTGATTGACTGCGCAATAAAGGCAGAGCCGTAACGGCATGACGCGCCATGCCTTAGCAAAAGGTGCACTACAGAATGATTTACGATGCTGTAGCAGGAGGGAGGGTGAAGCTGACACGCAGTGACGTGGCATCGCCTGGCGTAAGTGCGCTGCAATGATTCACGTTTGCTTCACAGGTTGCCGCTCGTGGGCTGGACATTCCCAACGTGAAGCACGTTGTGAACTTTGACCTGCCGTCAGACATCGAGGAGTACGTTCATCGCATCGGCAGAACCGGACGTGTGGGAAACCTCGGTGAGCTAGTCGACAATAGCTTACGGCGTGAATATCCGACGATGTCGGTCGCGTAACAATATTGAGCCGTAGGAAATCTCTTCAGCTGGTAATTCTCTCCGTAAAATGTCTGACGGAGAGAAATGTAATACGTCATGTGTATCCCACCCCCAGGAAAACCTGCTCATGTACCCTAGGTGTCCATAAAAACCCTGGTTAAAGAACACCAGCATAAAGTCTGAATGAAGATTTCACAGTGGTATCAAGATCAAGGGAGCGAGGGTATTTCAAATACAGGAAAATGAAATAATTTTCTTGAATTCAACAACCTATGTCATTTTGGGGCACTATATTTTCACCTTATGAATGGGAAAAGATTAAAAAGAAACAGAAACAAGTATATTAAAAACAGCTGAAAATCGAGGCACAATTCGTCACAACGTGGCAAGGCTTGGCAGCTTCTGTTTTGAAGGCACATCGAACGCAACGCGCGTCAAACGTTCTGCGCAGAACTCTGTGATACGTTCAACGTTAGCGTTATCCTATCTCATGTACCCTAGGGGTCCAAGTTCTATGGTGAACCCTGTGATACGATAGACAGCATTATCGCACGAATGTCGGGTCGACACGCGTTGAGGTCTCCCTCGTGTGTCTCGTCTTAAGGTCTTCGTTCTCGCGTGTCTCGTCTCAGGTCTGGCGACGTCCTTCTTCAACGACAAGAATCGCAACATCACACGCGACATGGTGCAGCTGCTCGTCGAGACCAACCAGGACCTCCCTCCGTGGCTCGAGTCGATGGGCTTCGAGAACAAGAGCCAGCAGCAGTCGCGTCGTGGCGGCAAGGGGTGAGCAAACGCGCGAGAGAGTTAGCGAGAAGAAAGAGAGAGAGAGAGCGAGAGCGAGAGGTAGCGAGAGCGAGAGCGAGAGAGAGGGGCGTAGAGAGAGGTAGCGAGAAGAAAGAGAGAGAGAGAGGTAGTGAGAAGAGAGAGAGAGAGAGAGAGAGAGAGGTAGTGAGAAGAAAGAGAGAGAGGGGGGTAGATGAGAGAGAGAGTAAGAGGGCGCAAGAGAGGCAGCGAGGAGTGAGCGAACACGTGAGACTACACGCCCGTGCGTGCGACGTGGTGACTGATGCGTTTGAGAGGTAGCGAGAAGAAAGAGGTAGAGAGAGAGTAAGAGAGCGCAAGAGAGGCGGCAAGGTGTGAGCGAATGCGCGAGACTGGATGCGTGCGTGAGACGTGGCGACGGCACTGTTCAAGATACAGTGAGAGTGAGCGTGCCGCGATTAGAAAAGTCTTGCAGTAAAATAAAAAGTCTTAAGTAAACGTGTTGCTTAAAATGCTGAGCAAAAAAGGGTAAAAAGTACAAAGGGTGAACAAACGCGCAGTGTGACGGCGTCGTTGCTAAAAACGCTGAGCGCCGTGATTAAAAAAACCGCATGTTACTGTGTGTTGCTGTTCGAATGGGATGTAGTGGGTTACGAATGTTTTTTTGCTGGGAATCGGTGAAGCTAGAGCCAAGGCGCTTTTAAGAACAGGGAAAAACTTTCTATTGATTTCAAGTGTGAAATTGAGCGTGCAGCATAAATGAATTCACACAGATTCAAAAATATTGCCGAACGAGCGTAGCTGTACTCTGCACAAACCGCTAACCTTCGCACGAATACAGTCGAGCGTGAATGGCCGCGTTTTTAACCGAAGCGAGATGCGTGTGCTCTACCACTCCCCTCCCCCCACATCCCCCCATGTCAACAAACATCTGCTAACTGTTGGGTTGCGCGCTCTCTCGCTTGCAGCAAGTACAGCGGAGGCTTCGGATCACGTGACTACCGCCAGCAGGGCAGCCAGCGTCAGGGCAGCCGCGGCGGCGGCGGCGGCGGCAACAACTTCATGATGTACAACGGCGGCGGCTTCTCCGGAGGATTCGGCGGCTACAGCGGAGGACCGCCACAGCAGTACGGCGGCGGCGGATACGGAGGCAACACCGGTCACGACTGGTGGGGAAACTAGAGAAGCGACTGACGCGTTCGATAGAGAAGAAAGATGAGAAAGAAGAGAGAGAGAGGTAGATGAAAGAGAGAGTAAGAGAGAGCCTGCGTGCATTCAAGCTTGAGCAACACTTAAAGCTAATTGCGTTAGTCGGTAGTTTTGATCCGCACTGGCTTTTTTCGAAAGTCGAGTTCGTTTAGATTTTTTGCAAAATTCGAAATTTTGGAGATTGTAAAAAACGTGCGGCATCGAACTTGGAGCCGCGCGCATTTTTGGCATTTAAATCTCCGCGTTTGGTGTCGCGGTCGAAATTTTTTTTCTGTTTTTTGGACGTTGCCGCGGTCTACCACCGCACGGCACTGTTTGGTTAAGCGCGCCGGTGGCTGCCCGCAAAGTAGCGCCGGTGTTCGAACTGTTCAAGCTTCGTGGTCGCAGGTTGCATTCGGCGCAGCAGCTCCCAAGAAACCCTGCTATACTTTGTGATCAGTCGGCTTTTTGCGCACTTCGCCCGCCGTTGTCGTCACGGTGGCGACGCGAATCGGGACGAGAGATTGCACTTCCGACTTGGTGAAGTGTACGATGTGACAATGATGACGCTCTTAAAATGATTACCCGAGGCGATTCTCCGGAACTAGTTCCGCTGGTCTCCCCCCACGCTCGATACGGATGGATGTTATGACTCCTATTACACACACAGTCTTTGCCTTTTGCCTTTTTTTTTAATTGTTAATGTAGGCAGCCCCGCCGGCCGCGCGTCGAGCGCGCTGCGCGGGACGTGCTCTCGATTTCGTTCAGATGCTCAAAAGTTAGTTCGCATACGGCTGCGTTATATACAGCCCGATTTTACGGTTTACACCCCCCAAGACGGCCCCCCCATCGGTAGCCGAGGCAGAGGGGTGCTCTAGATTGCGAATCGGTTTTCTGAACCGGCGTAAGAACGAGAGAATTTTTTGTCTCTTCTGAAGTCGGCCTCCGCAAGAGATGGATGCGCGTGCAGCGAGATCCCAAACGCGAGACGTCTCGACTTTTCCATTCCATGTCCAGCGAACCGATTTAGAGAAGCATTTGTACAGTATCCCTATTAATTAAATAATTAATTAACGTGACATATACGTGAACGTCTGACAGGAAAGGCTCGGCGCGAGGATGCCGTATAGGAAACATATAATTGCTCTGCGTGTTCGGGGCGGACGAAAGACCGGGCCGCCGCTTAGGACGGCGGCCCGGTGGCTCAAAGTGTTTTATTGAAATTTGTTAACGCACGGAGCGTCCGCCGCATCGCGGTGTCAGTGTTGTTGGACCCCCCTACCCCAGAGCTGGCCTCCACGCGTTCTGGAGCACATTCGTAGAGTTTGAGATGAAGACGTATGTATACGCCGCTGTCCTGTGGCTATGCTATTTATTTTTCTAGTCTTTCATGTGTGGGGACATATATGTGTGTGTGTACGCGTGGCCGCCCCGAAGCGGGACGCGCGTATCGAAGTATATATATAGTTCTCCACGCGTATATCTCATTTCTAAAATTTGTGGCCGATTTATGTTCTGCGAGTGAAGGCAAAATGAAGAGTGTGTGTGTGTGTGTGTGTGCGTGTGCGCGTCAGATTCGCACCGAAGTTGCGCCCGTCTCATTCTAAAATGTCTTTTATACAGGTGCTTTTAAATTGTTTGGTTCACGGGCCGTATTGCCCGTGTATGAGGATCGGCCAAACGAGCAAGGCTGTGATTTGTCTTGTGGCTTCTCCTAGAAATAATCCGTAGGTTAACACGGCGGGTCGTGCATCACAATTTCCGTCATCCTGTTCGACGTTTGGGAAAACCGAATGCCGGAAATCCTTGGCGACCAAGCAATTTAAGACCTGTGCCCCTGTTATTGAAATTTAACGAAAGGTAGTTGTTATAGTTTACCCCCCCCCCCTCAGCTGAGTTATAGCATCCACATCCCTATTTAAGACCCCCTAAAAATTATTTGCCGTGAGGAGAGCCTCTAGTTACATATAAATTTTACGTATTATGAGGGAGACGGACGTCGACCGTTCAAACACATAAACATGTAAATATTATGAAGAGTACTGCTGGATGTACGTTAAACAGTGGGATGCCATCCAGCAATTAGGAGTTCGAGGGAACGAGAGGAGCGTGTAGTCATCTGTTCAGCTTAAAAAGTACTTCAAATCCTTTGATGTGATAATATTTGCGTCGTGTTCAGACGAGGACAAGTGAACGTGGCTGCGTCCCCCTTGTTTCCTCGTAACCGGTGTCTGCACGCCCCCTAGTGGTACATTTAAGGTCGTGGCAGCCAGGTGCACGCTCGGTCGTTAGCGCTGTCACTTGACCGCTCATTATTTCTGTCAAGATACACAAAGCGTCGACTATGTAAACGCGAGTCGATGGTATTTCCGTTAAAGTCACGGGTTCTATGTGGAGCTGTTGCGTTTTTTCCTTTTCTTTGGTATTATGTGTTTACAAGCAAATTATCCATGTTTATGCTAGTATTTATCAAATTCGGACAAGAATAGCCAGGCATTTGATTGTCCTTTTTGAATTAGTTAGTTGGTGACGTGTAAAAGGAAGTAGTGTTATTACATTATTATGATGTAGGTGGCAATGTTAATCAATCACTGTATACCAGCATTTTGCAATTGTAACCGCGCGGCCGCATTCGCCATGCTGAGCGCTGAATTAAACTGTCTCGCAAACTTAATTACTGTCCTCGTACCATGATCTCATGCTCAGTCACAGAACGTGATGTGAACCCTGCATATATTCTATTGTTTCTGAAAGTGTGATGGATTTCCTAAATCTTGTTTACGTACTTTTGATGTCGATTGAATGTTTGTTCGTTTGTTGTTGTTTTTTGTTCCCCCCCAGAGAAATACGGTAGAATGGTGACCTATTCGAGGAAGTTGCGGTGCTTTGTAAAGTTGCTGGTGATGGTGAGAGACTGCGGTTGTGCTATGTGCTGCCACCTGGGCTTTCCCATGTGTTCGATCAGCTAGTTGTGCGGGTTCACCCTTGCGAAATGCGGTACGTTCTCATAGCCGTTCCGGTAGTGCATATTGACAGTGTCCATTCGCTTCGTTGCCCCCGCTATTCGTGTGCGTGTGTGCGTGTGTGTGCGCGCGCGCGCGCGAGAGAGAGAGGAAGATATTATTCGATGTAAGAATTCACCTAGCTGCATGGATCTCAGCTTCAGTCAGTTGTTTGTACTACATGTAACTGATGTTTCTAAGTATGTAAGAAAGCCAAGGCAGCACATACCATCACTGCCGCGAGCGCAGACTGGTTTTATCATGTGTTCCGAGACCAACTCATTAAGGCTTTTTTTATTTCTACGTGTATAAACGAGTTGATGGGCACGACGTGTGTGTAGATAGCGGGAGAGTTTGAAGTGCGGTTTGTTTCATTCACTGACGTGGCGACGGCCCAACGACGATACGTAAATCGAAAAAAAATTATTCAAGCCCACGCTCTGGCAGCGGCGGGCCGTTCTAGTCTCTTCGTCTCTTCGTGTTCACGGCTTCGTGACGAAACACGAGGAACTGCGCTGCGCAAGTGACGCGGCGCTCACGCGCGGGACGGAGGCTGCTCGAGCGCGCGGTGGTCCAGCTCGTGTTTTAGCCTAATTATCCGCCGTCTTTTGCTCACTGTTCCGGGGCGGTCCGACCGCCGCCGTCGCCGTGATATCGTCGAAACGCGCGTTCGCGTTTGTTTCGACGCCGTCGCACGGGCCGACGGTTTGCGACCGTCGTTCGCAGACGGTGGGAAGTAGTGCCGGAGATCAGTTCAGAAGAATACTCATCAGGTGCTTGTGTAAATATGGAACTGGACCGTGCGCGGTGGCTCAGACTGCATGTAGTCGGTCACCAATACCCTGCCCCCACCCCCCTCCCCCACTCACGGGAACCCCCGTGAATTAACGAATGCGTACCGGTAGCAGCGGCTCAACTTCATAGAGTGAAAAATCTGTCTCTTTACGAAAAATGGTGCAGGGAGTAGTTTAAAGAGAGATTGGGGCTAAATTTCTTGTTTTTGCGAGTTTCACGGGGAAAGAATATATACGAAAAGAAAAAATATTCGAAAAACTGGCCGTCTGGTCCAGGCAGGCAGTGTTACGAGTGTGCATTTTTTAGCACCGTATTAAAAATGTAGACGAGCGAACAAATGACTGAAACAAACCTTGGCTGGCGGGTTCGCGCGGGACAGGCTGTTGTCCCCCGCGCGTCGGCCGAACACTCAGGGAGGGTACGAGAACTGCGTCGCAGTTCCGCATGCCGATGGTTAACGGAGCGTAGGTGTCAGCGGTTTGCCGCGCTGCCACGAGAGGGCGTCTCGTGCACGCGCCGACCGCGTTCGGCGTTCGCAAAACCGGCGACCGGTCGCGACGACTCGCTTATTGCGTGCGGGGGTATGCAGAGTCGCCCTGCGGGGTGTTCGGGCCTGCCACGTCTACGACACCCAGCGGCATTCGTACGATGCGCGACGTGAGGGAGCGTCTGACGTATGACGGCGCGGTGTCGCGGGGCAAGGATGGCGCCGCCACCTGGTGGAACTACCAGACACCAGAAGCTGCGCCTGAAGACGCGTGGTTGTAGAGCAGTGCGCGCGCGCGCATGCGGTCGGTGCTCTCGCCATCTCTCGCGGAGGGCTTGTTGTGCGACGCGCTACGTATGGCAGTCGTGCCAGTTGGGAGTAGGGGAATTTTATCTAGCCGTTTCTTACTTTTTCACAATGTTGAAGCAACGCTGGGGAAAAGTGCGTGCGTACCATTTGTTGCAGAGGTCTAGAATTGCAGCAGCAGCACAGTATTACATTCCAGTGACATTATTAGTACGAAACGAATATCTGGAAGTCGGTCTTTACTGTAAGTGGCACGATAAGGTTCACAATAATTTGGTTTTCGCTGTGTGCGCAGAAGTGGGTGATGGGAGGTCTATATACTTGTGGGTGTTGCAGCCTCTGGTAAAACGAAGGCTGAAATTCTACATCGTTCAATTAATGATAATGTGTCACCATTTTGTTCCAAGCAGTGATATTTTTTTTTGTGGCGGTGTAATTAACGTGTTGTTACTGCTGACATCTTAATCTAGTGGAAAGTTTATTTTTGATACATTCTATTCAGATTGGCCCCGCGCAACACCCGCACACATAATGTTATGACATCCCGTTGTTCGTTACCCATTTCTGGTACAGCTTTGGCCAGAGCCGTATAGCGGAACGCCCTTTCCGAGTTGTGATCGCTCTTGCTGCATTTTTTTGAACCATGCGATTTGTGTTCAACTGTGGATCAGTTGTATCTCTGCAGACTTCTCGTCTACGACGTGCCACGGGTCGCCGGACGCGCGTCACGTGACCGGCATCGCCGTGGCGACGACGACGTGAGTCTCTTGGCGCTCGGGCGTCGTTGTCGTCCCGTATTCTCGTTCCGTATTCGCGTGCACTTTGAAGGCGGGCACGTTGCGTCGTGTCTCCCCGGGACCTAGCTGACGATGGGCCAGTGACCGGGTCATCGTTACATGCCCTCGCTATAGGGCGTGCGTGCACGTCGTGTGATAGACGAACGTCGGTTTTCACTACAACGTCGCCGTCCCGATTCGTTTTGGTGGCGTTCTCTCTCGATAAAAAGGTTCGTTACTACTGGAATTTTATGCCCCCGTAGCACGTTACGGTGTGGGTTGGCCGATTCCCTGTTATCTATCTGATCCGTCACGCGCGTACGTGTCTGCCAGGGGGCGCTGTGAGGTCCGGCGGACGGCAACGCGCAGAGGATGCTTCAGCGTGCGTAAAGTGCATTTTTATTTCTGTTCTTTTGGTGTTGTTGGCTTTCGGAACATTTTTTCGAGTGCGCCCGTGAGAGTGAGAACGAGCTTACTCATTGTTGTCGCCCGTGCCAAAGTGTTGGCGCGCCACAGGTGACCGGTGACACTCGCAATTCAAATTTTACCCGTTATAACCAGTTTTGCTATCTAACGTAACTGATGAAGTGAGAAGGGAGAATGGTAATCACAGCTTATTTGACTTGTATACCAATATGTCTATCTAGCATTTGTTATATTGCTACCGATAAAAATGTTTAAAATGCGTGGAGTGTCTGGCACTCAAATAGTAATTGGTCCTAAGCCATCTTGTGTTGTATTTTGGAAACCTGGGTAGGAAAGACAACTTGGTGTGGTAAGAATGTCGTATGGTGAGCGTATAGTTTGTACGTACGAGGGAACGTGTTCTAAAATGGTACACACATTATGGCTGAAAAATTTATTAATAGAGTATCTGTATACCTGCAAACGTCTGTAATAAATTACTTCAAACCAGAATAGTGGCATTGTTTCTTCATGGCTATAGTTGATGAGTATGTACAAACCCTTGTTGATAGAGTAGTTTATTTCCAGGCAGAATATGCCTGGTAGGTTTGGTGGTTATTGTAAATTTTCCCACTTTTCATGCATTGTTTTAGTCGGCATATGGTCCTAATAGTAGTAATGTCACCAACACTTGATTTTAAATACCACACTAGTGAATTTTATTTTGTAAATTCATAGTATTTACCAGGTATTTACAACCCAAAATAACTGTCAACAATACAAAATTGTCACAGAATAACATGGAACAAAATGCTCTTCGGATACCAATTGAAAAAGGCACTACTAGCAAAGCAAGTTTCTGTTTCAACAGTGTGCAGATAGAACTGGCTTCTATTCAACGCGAATAAGGAATAAACCACGGCACAATTTATTGTCTTTATGCTCGACGGCAAACCAGCATAATGAAGAGAGCACAAAATTTCACACGGATAGCAACATATTTCCTTTAAAATCCAATGCGCCTGGAAAATTTGCCGAAGTTGGATATGCTGCCCAATTATAACAATACCATAACGAGAATAAATATGTTCAGCTCTCGTTAATATTTAATTATCTTTAATTTATATTAAATATCTTTATCAGATGCACTGCATCTAACGTGTGGGTAGGACGTTTTCAAAGTAACTTGTATACGTATGAACACTTCACCAGTCATCTAGACAACTGGGTAACTACTTCAATGAGTGCTCAATGAGAGGAACTGTAAGGCTAAACGCCTAACAACAACTACAGATGTAGTCATGACCGGTGTGGCTGTGAAGGTTAAAGAAACTGAGACGCTATCGTCAATCCATATTTGTTCCTGCTTTTCAATATTACCTGCATGTTCACATTCGAAATTACTATTTAATTACACGCTCAGGAATCCATATGTAAAGACCACTATGAACAACACTGTCCAGAAAAATACTTCCTATAAAAGAAGAATCTTTAGCAACGAAACCCGACGGCACACGTCCCGCGCGAGAGGGTTGAAAACACCATTTGGAAGCAAGTGTGCAATTCTGTAGATCTCCGCCAGGTGTCGTGTATTGGCAGCTCGCGCGGCAGCAGCCGTAAATCCTCCATACTGTACACGCACGTATTATACATCCCCACCGCGTATTGCACCGGACGCAGCATTTTCACTTGAATAACTGCGAAATACTGTGAGATACAGACTAGACGAAAGTGTTTGGCGTTTCGGCATCTTGCATCGTGTAGTGTATATATGTCGCATTCTGACACGACACTTCCTCGCTAGCGTATAAAAATGTCAATCAATATTACAATAAACTTTGGCACATGTAGACTCAACGCATTAGGGATTCCAACTTGGACGAGGAACTACGTGGAAATCCACGCCCCCACGCGCAGACGTATTCTCGCCTTCGGTGGAAGAAGTGTAGTTTCGCAGAGAGAAAATCAGAAATACAATCGGGAGTTATTCGTCTGTGCAGCGCAACTCTCCTGGAAGAACACGCTCACTGGTGGAACTCCCAACCCGAATAGAATTCGCCGTAATCTCGTTCTGGTAGGTGCTGCGCTCTGGTGACCAGGTTGGCGTGGACGGTCGCCACGTCACAAGCTCAGCTGTCACTCAAATGTCAGGACTTCTTCGTCGGCGCTGGTCTCCTGAAAGGTGACGAAAAAACAATGCGTCACGCCACACGATAATACTGGGCTCTCTCCAACAGAACGTAGTGATGAATCTACAAAGATTCGAGATGCAAGAGTGTCCCTAGCAGAATGCATGGTGTGTTGATCTACAAAGATTGAAGATGGAGCGGCATCCGCTAATAGAACATTTTGCTCTGCAAAATACCCCCATTGGAGTCACGCCCCCTATAAAAGAACACGTGACACTGCAAAGATTCAGGGATGGACTGGAGTGTGCTGGAACAGACACGTCGATGATGCTCACCTAACCATGGTGGGTATCTGACTCGCCGGCTTGCCCATAACGGGGCCGCTCACTGTGGGGCTCCCACAGGGGGAGCTGCGACCGCTGCCGCCCGCCGCGCCATTCGCCAATCTCTTCTGCTTCAGCATTGTCTGTAGCGACAGACCTATCTGCGGCGGCATCTCTGCGGAATGAAGAATCGACGCGATGCATCGACGGATGAACAAGAAGGAGAAGCAAAAGCTCGTTGGGTTTCGAATGGTTTCGCGTGACTCGGGTGCCTGAGAGTGATAACCTGCTCTCGCGCTGCGAGGATTTTATGTATAATAAAAAGGTTTAACGGGTTTAATATAAATTCGACAGCCTCAGAAGCTTCGTGATTATGCTGCAAACTAAATTTGAGCTAGCGTTTAAATTTCAGTGATTAGCGTGAATCGGTAATTCGTCGAGTTATAGAATCGTTCTCTTTTAGAACGTTTAATTAATGCCGAGTAAGGGTGCAAGTGGGAATGTTCTTGCAAAAGTCATTAAACATTTAGGATTGATTTTGCTCTTTTTGCACGAAATTTACGCGCAGTATCACCCTGTTGCTGAAAATCCTTGCACAAATGTACGCGTGCACGTGCACGCACGCACAACACGCTCGCGTGCATACAGACTCACGCATGAAAACACACCTGTTGTTGGGCTAGTGGCAGGTGTACCAGTTAGAGGGCGCCTCGCTAACACAGCCGGCGACGGTATCCTGCTCACAGACGTTTTTCTGAAACGAGAAACGTCGGCGGCGTAAACATAGAATCTCACGCACAAACATCTTACGAAAATGTGCTGTGTGAAGCTCACCTGGAATACCTCATCGCTAAACATCAATTCCTATATAAACATATTGTTAATAAAAAGAAGAAGATGGAAATGGATTGGCCATGTCATTAGAATGAAGAAAAGAAAGACGAAAACCCACGCATTGCACTGACATGGGCACCGGAGGGGAAGAGAAAAAGGAGAAGACCAAGGGAAACATGGCGAGGGACAGTGGAGGAAGAAAGGATTACATTAGGGGTTAAAACATGGAACAAGGCCGAAAGAGCTGCCAAAGATAAAACGTCATGGAGAAATTTGATTTACAGCCCTATTCTCCACGAGGAGTGAACATGGTTCCCACAAAAGTGAATTATTTTTTCAATGACTTTTCAAGGACATTTCAATGACATGGTTTTTTCAAAGACAATCTATGAAAAGTAGTTTTAGCTTTTTAGAGTCATAATATATACCTTAGATTCATATATAAAGTAAAAATTGTTGTTTTACACGAGTGCCGGCAGCAGATTAAACAGCCGCTATAGTTCGCCGATTACCGATGCACACAATGCTCATTTCATATTGTCATTCACGTAGATTCATGTGACGGTCCTGTGACAATATGTACAGCTTTGATGTAACATGTATCATTCAGAACTATGTGTCACACAATGTACTGTTTCACTCAGAAATTTTATTATTTTAACTGCTCAACACTATTGCATTTATCTGATTTTTTCTCCATGAAAAAGAGTGTCTTCAGTACATGTACTTGTAGTTGAATTACATGCAATCAAGAGCTAATAATACCTTGATGCAATGAAGATTTAATAATAATAATAATAATAAACAGTTGCTGGTTGTTTATGCTGACCTTTCATCTGCTGTGTCAGGCAGTAACATTAACACTGGATCACTTATTCCTTACTCCCCTCTCGCGGATGGTATCGCCCACGGCGTCAAGAACACGGTGAAATGTTTGCCATCCAAATGACAGTATTCCAGCCGAAACTTTTTCACCCCCCGAGTCACAAAATTTGAATTTATGCCTATATAATACACGCGCACGCGTGCGTGCAACCATACCAGCTTGTGCGTGCCTGGTCGCGTGTGTGTATGTGCATTTGTCTGACCGTGAAAACGCGTATCATAACCGTATATCCACATTTTGTGCTTTGGGGGGGGGGGTGAAAAGGTTGAGGCTGAAAACCATCCATTTGTCTGGCCAACTTTTCACCGTGCGACATGCCGTGGGCGATACTATCCGCGAAAGGGGGAGGGAAATACTGAGGGGAGGAGGAAGGAAAGAGGAGAGAAAGGAGAGAGGGACGGGGGGAGGGAGGAATGCAGACGGAGATGTGCACACGCATGCGCAGTCACACGCGCAGACAAACGCACGAACGGCACAAACGGTATACACACACAGGTATGGATGCACATATTCCTTCTAATATAGTTACTTCTCTCGCCTTCCCGCTCACCCTCTCCCTCTCCTTGACTCTCACTCTCTTGCTCTCTCGGAATATTTATCTTCACGCACACACACACACGCACGCACACGCACTCACGCACACACACACACACACTCTCTCTCTCTCTCGCAATTTTTCTCTCGTTCTCGGGCGCTATATATACACATATGTATGTATGTATATATAGATATAGATATTATTTTTGGCCCTATTTTACTAGTATTATAACATTAGTCAGTGGCTGAACGGGGGGGGGGCATGCGGTTGCAACCCCCCCCCCCTCTAGATCCGCCACTGCAGTGGGTAGCGAGGGACACACATTCTCACCTGACGGGCGCAACCACCTCTCTCGATCGGGACGACCTCATCACGGGCCGCGGCGACGATGGTTGTGGGATGCCGGTCTGGGGCTTCACAGCTAGCTGTGGCTTCGGTCGGCTGTTAGACGATATGCCTGCGTGCACACGAACCAACGCGTCTAACGAATGCCGAACCACAACCACCAATACCCAATTGCACGGATTATATCAGGGTTTAATAATGACAACAAAAATCAAACAAAATTTGTCATTATTAACCCCTGGTTATGTACAACTGTTACCGAGAATCGACTACTATGAATAATGTGCACGGGTGATGTCGGTTAATTGGAAACAGGTCTCAGGTTCTGTAATTTGATAGATTGCGTTGAGAGCCAAATAAAGTGGCATCAATGAGAAAGCATATATGTGTACCGTTTTATCAGATTAAAAAATTTAAACTTAAAGTTAAAGTGATTCTTTATGCTGTGATTCCATTCGGTTGTAAGCATTCTAAGTTGTAAACTATACAATTACCAAGAATTTAAGAGTAACGTATTTAAAACGTTATAATGTAATGAAAAAGTCAAACAATTAGATTATATCATACTTCTCTGTGCAGAGGAGACTGATAAAGACGAAAAGCTGTTATTGCTGGGTGTCCGCTTGACCTCCTTCACTGGCAGTATACTTTTGCTCGCTGAAATCGTTCATAAATAAATTAAATAAATGCTTAACAGGATATTTTCCCAAGTTTATTTATCATCTGAAGTAATGTGTCCACGCAGAAGTATGGCCATCACAACAAGCCATTGTTAGAATATACTTGTATTTTCTTTATTTGTTTTATTAGTGATACAGGAAGTTCCTGGGTCCCGAACATGAGTTCCAGGATTTTGTTCATGGTTTGATCGTATATGGTCAGAATCCCTATTGGTACGACTGTAGTTTTGGTTCGAATATATGGGTTTAGCGTCAGAGGTCACGTTTTTAAGTCTGGATGACGTTTGTAACGGACAACCGTTCGTAATGTTCATAATAAATATAAATTAATTATTTATATTTTTCACATAAATTTAATAATGCTAAACTCACGTTTTCGGATGGGAATCTTCCCTGCCTTTGCTGCCGTTTTCCTCTCCGCGATCCTTCGACTTTCCTCCTCCTTTCTTTCCCTCTCCTCCTGCAAAATGAAAGCAGAGACTCAATCAACACCACCACAGATCTTTGTATCGTATTAGGATAATTTTCAGTAATCGTTGCCACGTATATTTGTTAACGTCGAGTTGTTTTAAAATGATACAAGTGTAACGATCCTAATACATTAACTCTTCATACTTTGCGTGGAGATTGCAAAGGATATGTTTGCGCGTTACTGCGCTACTGCTTACAATTTCTACGAGATGTTTCTCCTCGTTTTCCCTCTCCTGGTCTTCTAGATCGCCCTCCAGGAATACTCTCCTCGAAAGCTACAAAAGAAGGGCAGGAGCTTAGCAATATCCTTGTGCGGCTGTTAGCAAATGAACACATACTATAGAGCCGGCAAGTTCACATGATTGCCTAGTAAAAATTCTCCTGAAGCCAGCATTAAACCCTCACCCCCTTCTCTCTCTCTCTCACTCTCTCTCACTCCCTCACTCGTTCTCACGCTCTCTCTCTCCCTCACTTGCTCTCACACTCACTCTCTATCCTTCGCTCTCTCTCTCTCTCTCTTTCGCACATGGTCACACGCACGCACGCACGCACGCACGCACACAATCCCACTAACTCCGCTGCGCTCTCCCGCGACGGGGTGCCTCATTATATTCCCGTGCGCTTGTGTTTTGTTTCATCACGTAGCTCCCTACCCGCGTGAAACCCACGGAGTCGCGCAAATATGAACAAGGCAGTCATTAACGACGGTGTCCCGGAGGAAAGATCAACACGGCGGCTTTCACGGGCGACTCTTTTAAATCGCGACGGGGATAAATTCAACATCTACACTTTGATAAAATCAATATCTATCGCGCGGTGCGCTGCAAAGCATGCTGTATGCATGTGTGTGTGTGGAAGGGAACAGACGCAGAAATGTCAGCCAGCCTGCAGCTTTTACACTGCCACACGAACACCGCAACAGTAACCTGACTGCAACCAATCTTTCTGCTATGCCAATCGTTTTGTTACATTTAAAGCCAGTGTTCCCTTTAGATGATTCGAATCGCCAAGCAATTAAACCGTAACACCCTACATTACGTTATAAATACACCTACAATTTTACAATATGATATCATATAAATTACGCTGCAATACACAATAATAAAAGTGTTCCATTACGTGACAGCCTGGCATAACACAGAGCAATTACACGCCACATGTATTAGTGGGTACGGTCATCACAACAAAACATCAACAAAACAAGCACTGTTAATAAAGCATGTTCACAGCTATCAGTAATGGGATGGTCAGAGGATGTTTTTAATATTAATTTCTTCTCGAAAACGAGACAAACTGAAAACAGGGGTGGGTGGGCACAGCTCTCAGGTATTGTATTCGTGTAAGACACAAAGCGTGTTGTTCGCACAGTGCCCCAGAGCACAACTCGGAGTGGGCATGCCACGTGTATTGGTTGCTTTACTTACTGTCTGGACACTAGGAGAAAAGTTTAAGCTGCACTTCAGGTAACTTACAGTATCCATGGCAACTTCAATCTTGTCCAGCTCCATTATCGCCTGAAATACGCAGACGAACGTGAAATGTAAACTATATCATACGTCACGCGTATCGCAGGTAAATTCATATCGACAGCAGTGTAGAGAGGTAGGAATGGCTTTGGTTCAAGAATTGCATTCAGACTATGTGCCCCCCACCTTAGAGGTAGGTACCTGTAACCTGTTCCTCACTTGCCAGTAATCACGTTGGATCTAATATAAGTTTGCTTAAGTCATAAGTATATATACTGACATATCAGTCAAGGTCTCAAGCTCCTTACTCTAACTACTCAAATGAAATTAGTGAAACCGAAGAATAACCTGCATATAATATTATAAACATTCTGTATTCGATCATGCCATGCATTATCGTGGGTGTGGTAAAAAGGGCAATAATATATATATATATATATATATATATATATATATATATATATATATATATATATACACTATATATATATATATACAGAATGTTTATAATTACATGATAGATTTATTGATAAAAAGGGCATGTATATATACGTGTCTGTACGTCACATAGTAGATATATGTACGTGAAAGCATTCATTATTGAATAAGGTATTGAAGTGATTCTTTCGTTTAAAATGATTCTTTCTGCAAATATTCTAGGAGGAATTTTGGAACTTAGTGAAGCATACTGCATCAGGATTATAGTAGATCCTGGTAATTAATGAGGAATCAATAATCAGGGGACAGTGCATGGTGTTATGTGCACTGCACTGAATCCGGACACGGTGGGGTTCACCAACTCAATAATTTATGCGCTTCCTCATGCACGCACTCACCGCAAAAATCACACCATAAAACTGCAATATTGACATTATATGGCAGGAAAAATTTCAATAATTAATTAGGGAGGAATAGTGAGTATTTGTTATCAGTTTTTGAAAGGTGGCACGAGGGTAAACTCATTAGTTAGCCTGGTCCCTGAAACCGGATCAACAAAAAAGTCATAAAGATAATTAAAAATGAAAGAAATCAAATAAAAATTTAAATGTGTGAAATTTGTTCCAGGTAAAATGAGTTTAATTTTCCTTCTGATGCCAGAATAAGGATTTTGAGATTCAAGGGAAATTCTAAACAAGATAAATCAAGGTGAAATACCCTAGGATACAGACAAAAGAGGAGACTCCTATTGTTCATACAGAGATTTATTGCTGATTAGAAGAACACGGTATTATATGTATAGGAAGAAGACAGTTATTCATACAGAGATTCATTGCTGATCAGAGGAGGAAGGTGGTTGTTCATGCAGAAACTCTCTGCTAATCATACGATCGTAAGGGGCAGACAACAGAGAATATCACTGTTGTTCCTACAGAGATTCGTTGTGGTTATACAGATTTTAGTTATTAATACACAGAAACTCAAGCTCGACTGGAAGAACATATAGAAGGAAGACAAAAAAGGACATCACTGTAGTACAAAAGGGACCGACCCATCACCTACTGAAAGAACCAATGATAAAAAAAGAGAGATGCCAATGTGGCATCACGGTCACTTATGTCATCACGGGGCTTGTGATGGTCAATCATGCATACAGGTTGTGAAGGACGATGCTTACGTGTCGTATGGCCGCCGTGACGTCACGATCCTTCTCGTTGACCATCAGCTTGCGCACGCACGACTCGAGCTGCTGCAGCAGACCTCTGTCCGTAGGCAGCTTCAGCTGAGACTTCAAGCGCGGCAGCAGCGTGCACAGACGCAACCTGCGAACACGCACGCACGCACGCACGCACAACATTGAGACGTCGAATGACCAAGCCAAGGAAGGAAGGAACGACTACGCTACGGAAATGAATGTGGCGAATTCTTTTGGTTTGTCCGTGGGGCTGTGGAGGCGCCATGATGTTGACGCCATACGATATTACTACTACTGATAAGGAATGACGGGGATCGCTGATAACACAATGATGCATTTTTCACGACGAGAATGCAGGAGAAAACCTCTCCTTAATGTTGCGAGTTGAGAATTCCGTAGTTTTAGCTTGACGGCGTAGTGATAACGATAGGATTATAATTGTAGGGGTAACGATCAGAGCGAGCTGCTGTTATCGATGTCGTAGAGTAGCAGTGTGTGTGTGTAGAAGTTTGACGCGAATGTGGCGGCTGCGGCTTGCAGTTTACGGATATGGGAATCGATTATGCATTATTATTTAAATGAGGGTTATTAAGATAGGAGTTATCTCTGCAGCTGCACAACAATAACCGCCTCCACTACCGTCACTACCACTGCTACCACTACTACCGCCACCATCACCACCACTGCCGCTGCTGCAACTGCCACTACCACCACCACTACCACCGCCGCCGCCGCCGCCGCCGCCGCCGCCGCCGCTGCCGCCGCAGCCACCACCACCACCACCACCAACACCAGCAGCAGCAGCAGCAGAACACTGCCGCCACAGCCACCACCACTGCCACCATAACCAGAAAGAACACCAACAACAACAACAATACCACCACTAGCAACAATGACAACAACAACAACACCCACCGCCACCACCACCAACACCACCACCACCAGCACCAGCACCACCAACACCGCCAACACCACCACCACCTCCTCCTCCTCCTCCACCTCCTCCTCTCCATCCCCTCACCGGATGTTGGGCACGGCGTCCATGTGTAGCTCGAGCAGCTGCGTGTAGAAGAACTGCTTGAAGAAGCTCTTCGAGAACAGCTCGATGATGACGATGCAGATCTCGATGAACAGCATACGCTTGTGACAGCTCGCGTGCCGACAGAAATCTACGCGCGCAAAGAAAATACACGTTCAGACACGTTAACGGGATGACAGAAATCTACGTGAGGGAAGAAAACACTCGTTCAGACGCAATAACGGGATTACAGGATACATCCTTTCCCGTGGAGCATGCCTGTAGTGGGCCGTATGGCAATAGAAATCTACAGCCACTAAGGAATACTCGTTCAGACACGATAATCGGACGACGGAGTACATCCTTTCCCGTGGAACATGCCTGTAGTGGCTCGTGTGGTGACACAAATCAACGACCGGGAAAAAAACACGTTTAGACAAGATAAATTGGGCATTTTCCAGGATATACTCGTTCAGAAAGGATAATGAGAGGACGGATTATATTTTTCCCCATAGCACGCGCCTGTGGTGGCTGGCCTGTGGTGATATGAATCGATGGGAAAAACTTAATTCATTCGTATAACGGGATGACAGGATCTATTCTTTCTCATAGCATCTGTGCATGGCGGTTGTCATGGTGACGGAAATCGCCCAAAAAATATCACCCTTCCTGCATCTGATTTCTATGTGGGGGGAACGAGAGCACGTTTGCAGTATTCGCTCGGCTACCTTCGATCAGCTTCTTGCATATCTCAGAGCGCTGTTCGGCTCGGAGGTTGTTCCTGAGGTAGACGCAAAGAGTTCTGACTGCGGCGATTCTGACCGGTCGAGCCCTCTGAAGCAGAAACACCAATGACATTGATTATACACCAATATATTAGGTAACGTGTTATCGTATCGTCCGCTAAATATGATGACATAAGAAAGAGAACCCGTTTTCAGGCCTATGTTATCATATCATACCTTATACGGAAACAATGCAATGGGAATTTGCAATATACCTGACAGGAGAACTCATGTAACGCTAAGTTCCTAACATTCACAAGGCATTTCCAACAGTATCTAAGAGTTCCCACCAATAACAAAGAGTTTCCATCGATGACAAGTAGTTCCGAACAATAACAAGAAGATTGCAACAGTAATAAACAGTTCTCAATAATAATAAGCAGTTCCATCAGTACAAAGAGTTCCCGACAGTACCAAGGAGCTCATAACAGTAACAAGCCATTCTCAACACTAACAAGGCATTCCCGAATCACAGACATAACCGCTGTGACGACACCGTGGCGCCCTCACACTCACCGACACCGTCGCCTTCTGGAAGAAGAGCGCACAAAACTTGCAGAAGATGTCGTCGCTGCTGAGGCACTTGGGCAGACAGGCGAGCACGCTGAGCAGCTGCTCGTGCAGCCTCCAGTTGCTGGACGCCGCGCCGGCGCGCCACCGTCAGCTCACACAGCATGAGCGCGTTCGCAAGCTCCGGTCCGCTCAGCTGAAGGAAGGAACGCAGGCAGGAGTTAGAAGAAGCTGCGATGATATGTATAATGTAATATCTTTTTTTGCTCACCAGTGGGACGAATACGGACCAGAACACCTAGACAGAAGCTGTCATGCTGTATATAATATAAGATCTTTTGAAATAACAGATACATAAATATATCAATATAATATACAATGTATAACAAAAGATACGAAATGAAGGAATGATATAATAAAGTGTCTTGCGAAGTGTGACAGGGAGCTGTGAAAGGAAGATCAGCATTCTGAATGAATTCTGGTTACAATTAGTGTTTTTTAGGGTTTCAGATTCTGTATTATTTAGAGACATTGCTTGCATCATTCTTTTCTCTATAGTAGTGAATAATAGTCTATACCCATATTTAAATATTTAATTATTTGATATATATATATATATATATATATATATATACTATATATATATATATAAGATATAGATATATGAAAAATCCACTAGGCATGAAGGAGGACAGTGGCTCCATCTATGTGCCTCACCTGTAGATCCGGTGAAAACCGTGTGTCTGACATGGAATGCCTTCCTCTGTTGACCATACATTCCAGCATCTCCGGCAGATGGGGAATGATGCCCTCTAGAACCTGCGTGAAGCAATGCGAGGAGCATCACTCACCGACCACCGGATGCTAATGCACACCCAATCAGTTACTAGCCCGCCAACACATCCAGCTGCGAGGCGACGCAGTGGGTGGGAGGAAAGGGCTGCGGGCAGGGTGGCTTGGGGAGGGGGGAGGGGCTGTGTTGATGTTAGCTGGGGGGGGTAGGGCGCTGTGGGCGGGCGGTGCTTGGCGAGGGGTGGGAAATTGATCGCTTCGTTTTTATTTCAATCCGATCGAATTGTGGATAACAGAAATCGCACTAAGTTTTCCATGTATAGTAAGTAGGCACCAGCATCAGTCTAGCTCAGAATATGACAGAAAGTGGCCGGCACTTACCATACGTGTGTTTACTGAAACAAACCATCTCATCCGCGAGAGGTATTCTAAGAGACAGCTCTCCTCACTGCAGCGTGAGAGGGAAGGAATAAAAAAGTAGAGTGGGAAGGAAGAGATGACGGAGGAGGGTGGAGGGAAGGGTATGAAAGAGAACAGTGGGAGGGTAGGACCGAACGGTCGGAGAAAACACTGTAGGGGTATTCCAATTGCAGTGTGTAGGAGAAAGATAGAGGTGGGGATAAAGACTGTAGGACCTACATGGTGGGGCCTCCCAGTGCAGTGCAGTGCATGGCAGATGGGTTCCCTATGTGGTAACAGCCCACGGTGGTAGATGGGGAAATGAGTGGGTGAGAGGAAGGATGGTAGGAAGGGGAGCCATGTTCTTACCTCTATGGATTCATCCTTTAGTAGTATCACCAGTTCTCCCTGAATTAAATACACGTTTGAACCTAACAGTTTGGCAACCTGAAAAAACAGGACAAGAATTATAGCAACTATAGGAAATGCCATTATAAAACTCATTGAATCACTTGTGAATCATTGCCAAATCATATCTATGAGATTAGAATTAGGATAATACATTTTATAGTACACATTCCTGTCAGAACCTAAATTACAATAACTGTTTGTTTACCAACACTTTCATACAAATTAACAAATTAATTTCTCACACAACGCAACCGTTCATAAACTACACATCAAACCTTTGCAAAAATGTTCAAAACTTCGAGGTAGGTCAACCGCCTTCAAAACATTCATAATTTTGTAATGTATATTAATAAATAATGTATAATATTGTCTGTAATAATACATTTTTGTAGGCAGAAAAAACCGTTCCACAACGATTTTACACGATGCCACCATACCTTCGATAACCACTCGCATTTTGCGCGCGCGCGTTTCCCTACACGCAGACGACGCGACAACGACCGACGCGAAGGACGCAGGGCGTCCGCGTAGCGCCACCTACCTCGTGAAAGCCCGACGCGACGGTCCTCCTCACCACGGGGTAAGGGTCCTCGCAGAGCGCAGCAAACGTCGCGTACAGACTGCACTTGAAGTCGAGCGCACCGGCGAACAGCACCATAGCCTGAAAGAACACACACGCGACGCCGTCACACCGGAAAATCTGCCTAACACCGAACCCGCCAGCGGACCCAAGTGTGCCGACCGTTAGGGCAAACACGCGCAATGCCGTCACGCTCACCCTTACATGGACCAGCAGGGAAACCTGCCTACCTCCGAACCCGCCATAGTACAGGAGCTAAGAGCCATAAATCGGATGAATTGTGCAGTTTTTTTTTAGAAAAAGCATGAAAAATTGGCACACAGGTAGTATAAGGTAACCAGGAGACCAAAGTGTGCCAACCGTTAGGGCAAATAGGGAAAACGTCTCCTGGGGGATCGATCCTGGGATTTCTAATTAAAGATTAAGATCATTTGGTTGGGTAGAAACGGCGTAGCACACAATTTTATGCAAACATTTGTCAACGATTGTCATATGATCAACATTGCTGTTGCATGTAATAAAATCCCTCAGGGATGCCGAGATTACACAAATGACAAATACTGACATACACGCAGAACAAGAGCTATCATCATCTTCGTGATGCAGGCACGATGCAAGCAGGCGTGAAACCTCTCACTATATATTAATATTCTCACCTAGAGTGTTTTCTAGGACGTTACACCTTAGCAACGGATTTATTGCATTCATTCTGCCGTTGCCTAGACACGCATCATCAGTATATGACTAACGCAATTTGCGCACGTGAAATTTATCAAAGCGAGTTCGGCTTTGAACGAACTAGGACTGAACTGTACTTCTCTTTGGCAAAAACGGCAATGCGCTTTCTGCCAAACAATGATGCTGCATTGAGCACGCCGAAGGTTTCTTGCTGGGAAAATTACTTCGCATAAAATTTAACATTGAAACAATTTTAGATTGGCAGGAACACATTGTCATCAAAATACTTGCCCGGCATTAGCGAGAGAGAGAGAGAGAGAGAAAGAGAGAGAGAGAGAGAGAGCGAGAGAGAGAGAGAGAGAGAAAGAGAGAGAGAGAGAGAGAGCACGAGAGAAGCGAAAGAGAGAGAGAGAGAGAGAGAAAGAAAGAGAGAGAGAGAGAGCACGAGAGAAGCGAAAGAGAGAGAGAGAGAGAGAGAAAGAAAGAGAGAGAGAGAGAGCACGAGAGAAGCGAAAGAGAG